TGATGCTGCTTGGCCTGCTGTGTTCATCCAGCTCTACACCTTGTTATATCAGATTCTCCAGCATCGGCAGCTCCTTCTATCTTTGTAACATTAGAGAATCATTAACCCATTTGACATCGCTCCCAATTTTTATATTCATGTCCTTCAATGAAGATAAAAAAAAGGTTGCTAATTCATTATCACATTACATTATTGGCCAATATCAAGTTCTGCTCCATTGACCATCACAAAACAGAACAGCCTATACAATTCATCAGGTCAGCACTGGTATTCATGAAGCAAGTATGTCACATAATTCAGATTTATAGATTGTTATGTTTTAGGACACTGTCTTTAGCTTCGGGGGAAAAGTAGGAGATATTGTGATCTGCCATAGGTTCTGCCTAACAATAAGCCTGAATGCCATGGCTGTTAATGTATAAAGTGAGGCCCAGGTTGTTGGAAAAGAAGGTGTTAGATGTTCACAGTTGGATATAATGGTAGCAGTATCTGTGCTGACAGTGGTTAAAATGTTAGTCTCCAATACCACAAGAAAATATTAAGAAGGTCAGATTGTGAACCATTATTCACTAAACTGCCCATTTAATTCCAACTTCAAAGAGAGTTTGCCTCATGGGTAACTAATCAGCATTTCTATCAGGATACAAAACCCATGGAGATAGACTTTGAGAGCTGAAGGGTTTCTACGACATCCCTGAAATTAACAGACACAGGATGTGTGGAAAAGAGAGACAGCGACTACAGGAAGAAAGTTTATGTGCTTCACTGTGCAGGAATGTAGCTGGGACCTCACATTCAGATTGAAAAGACTAAATTTGTGAGAAGTTAACAGGAGTTGTAGGCTGAAAGGTTCACCTAGTTTTCACCAAAGAGAGTATCTCTGGGAAAACTCTAACCATTATGGGCAGTTCCATGGACACAGGTTAACCAGGCTGAGGAAAGAACGGAACAGAAGTAAACCTTCAGGAAATAAGAATCACTTTGGACTAGATCCTGGAGAATTGATTGTCTACTTATAAAGAACACTATAATGTATACCCAGAAACTTGAATTCTCCTTGTATTCACAGTAAAATGGGCAATGTTCCATTCTGTACTTTTGATGTTTTGAACAAATTACAAAGAACAAAGAAAATTACAGCACAGGAATAGGCCCTTCGGCCCTCCAAGTCTACACTGACATGCCGCCCATCACAACTAAAACCCCCTACCCTTCCGGGGACAGTATCCCTCTATTCCCATCCTATTCATGTATTTGTCAAGGCGCCCTTCAAGAGTCACTATAGTATCTGCTTCCACTACCTCCAGGCACCCACCGCCCTCTGTGTAAAAAACTTGCCTCGTACATCACCTTTAAACCTTGCCCCTCGCACCTTAAACCCATGGCCCCTGGTAACTGACTCTTCCACCCTGGGAAAAAGCTTCTGACTGTCCAATCTGTCCATGTCCTTCATAATCTTGTAGACCTCTATTAGGTCATCCCTCAACCTCCGTCGTTCTAGTCAGAACAACCCAAGTTTCTCCAAACACTCCTCATAGCTAATGCCCTCCATACCAGGCAACATCCTGGTAAATCTTTTTTGTACCCTCTCCAAAGCCACCACATCCTTCTGGTAGTGTGGCGACCAGAATTGAACACAAGATTTCAAATGTGGCCTAACTAAAGTTCTATAAAGCTGCAACATTACCTGCCAATTTTTAAAACGCCCAGCCAATGAAGGCAAGCATGCCATATGCCTTGTTGACGACCTTTTCCACCTGTGTTGCCAATTTCAGTGACGTGTGTACCTCTACACCCAGATCCCTCTGTCAGTCAGTACTCTTAAGGGTTCTGCCATTTACTGCATATTTCCCATCTGGATTCGACCTTCCGAAATGCATTACCTCACATTTTTCCGGATTAAACTCCATCTGCCATTTCGCTGCACAAGTCACCAAACGATCTATATCCTGTTGTATCCTTTGACAGTCCTCAGACCTATCTGCAATTCCACCAACCTTTGTATCATCGGCAAACTTACTAATCAGACCAGTTACATTTTCCTCCAAATTGTTTATATATATTACAAATAGCAAAGGTCCTAACACTGATCCCTGAGGAACGCCTCTAGTCACAGCCTTCCATTCAGAAATGCACACTTCCACTGCTACCCTCTGTCTTCTATGAGCAAGCCAGTTTTTTTTTTAATCCATCTTGCAAGCTCATTTCTGACCCCATGCGGTTTTACTTTCTGTATCAGCCTGCCATGAAGGACCTTGTCAAAGGCCTTACTAAAGTCCACGTAGACAACATCCACTGCCCTACCCTCATCGATCATCTTCATCACTGCCTCAAAAAACTCCACCAAGTTAGTGAGACATGACCTCCCCTTCAAAAAACCACGTTGCCTCTTGCTAATATGCCCACTTATTTCCAAGTGGGAGTAAATCCTGTCTCTAAGAATCCTCTCCAATAATTTCCCTACCACTAATGTAAGGCTCACCAGCTTGTAATTAGCTGGATTATCCCTGCCACCCTTCTTAAACAAAGGAACAACATTGGCTATTCTCCAATCCTCTGGGATGTCTCCAGTAGCCAGTGAGGATACAAAGATTTCCCTCAAGGCCCCAGCAATTTCCTCCCTTGCCTCTCTCAGTATTCTGGGGTATATCCCATCAGGCCCTGAGGACTTGTTTACCTTAATGTTTTTCAAGACCCCCAATACCTCCTCCCTTTTGATCTCAACATGACCCAAACTATATACACACCCTTCCCCAGACTCATCATCCACCAAGTCCTTCTCTATGGTGAATACTGATGCAAAGTACTTATTTAATACCTCGTCCATTTCCTCTGGCTCCTCACAAATTCCCTTCGCTGTCTTTGACTGGGCTAACCCTTTCCCTGGCTACCCTCTTACTCTTTATACATGTATAAAAAGCCTTGGGATTTTCCTTAATCCTGTTGGCCAATGACTTTTCATGACTCCTTTTAGCCCTCCTGACTCCTTGCTTAAGTTTCTTTCAACTTTGCTTGTATTCCACCCTTGCTTTATGTGTTCCCAGCCTCCTAGCCTTGATAAATGCTTCCTTTTTCTTTTGGATTAGGCTCACAATATCTCTTGTTATCCAATGTTCCCTAAACTTGCCATACTTATTCTTCATCCTTACAGGAACATGCCAGTCATGAGTTCTGAGCAACTTACACTTGAAAGCCTCCCACATACCAGATGTTGATTTGCCCTCAAACATCTGCCTCCGATCTCCATTCTTCAGTTCCTGCCTAATATTGTTGTAATTAGCCTTCCCCCAATTTAGCACCTTCACCTGACAACTACACCTATCTTTATCCATCAGTATGTTAAAGCTTACTGCATTGTGATCACTGTTCCAGAGCTGCTCCTCTACTGAGATGTCAACCACTTGGCCAGGCTCATTCCCCAATACTATGTTCAGTATGGCCCCTTTCCCAGTTGGAGTATCAGCACACTGTTTCAAGAAGCCCTCCTGGATGCTCCTTACAAACTCTGCCCCATCCGAGCCCCAAGCACTAAGTGAGTCCCAGTCAATATTCTGGGGTACATCCCATCAGGCCCTGGGGACTTGTCTACGTTAATGTTTTTCAAGACCCAAAATACCTCCTCCCTTTGGATCTCAACATGACCCAAACTATCTACACACCCTTCCCATAGAACTGTCTATGCAGTCCATCATATCAGCATTGGTTTTCATGAGGCAAGTGTGTTACAAATATGAGATTATGTTTCAAGATGGTATCTTTATTGGCGCGATATTTCTGGGCATAGTCTAATATTGAAGTGAAGTCCATAACTACTTTTAAAAATGTTACTTTTAAAAATCTCACCCTTCCCTATCTACACACCCACACCCTGAAGTTAAAATCACCCACAACAACAACTCTGTTACTTCTACATCTTGCCAAAATCTACCTGCATATCTGTTCTTCTATCTCCCGCTGGCTGTTGGGAGGCCTATAGTAAACCCCACACATTGTGATTGGACCCTTCCTGTTCCTGAGCTGTACCCATATAGCCTCGCTGTATGAGCCATCCAAGGTGTCCTCCCGCAGTACAGCTGTGATATTCTCCTTAAAAAGTAGTGCAACATTCCCACTCCTTTTATATCCCCCTCTATCCTGCCTGAAACATCTGTATCCTGGAATGTTAAGCTGCCAATCCTGTCCCTTCCCTTAACCAAGGAACTGTAAATAGCAACAACATCACAGTTCCAAGTACTAATCCAAGCTCTAAGTTCATCTGCCTTACCTGTTACACTTCTTGAATTGAAACAGATGCACTTCAGTCCACCAGGCCCACTTTGATCAGCAACCATGCCCTGCCTGCTCTTTCTTGGAGTCTTACTGGCCCTATTCTCTAGTTCCCTTTCAGCCATTTCACCTGTGCTTTGGTTCCCACCCCGCTGCCAAGCTAGTTTAAATCCTCCCGAGTGACACCAGCAAACCTCCCAGCCAGAATATTTGTGCGCCTTCAGTTTAGATGCAATCCGTCCTTCTTGTACAGGTCCCACCTGCCCTGGAAGTGATCCCAATGGTCCAGATATCTGAAACCCTCCCTCCTACACCATCTGTTTAGTCACATGTTGAGTTGTACTATCCTCCTATTTCTAGCCTCACTGGCACGTGGCACAGGGAGTAATCCCAAGATTACAACCTTGGAGGTCCTGCTCTTTAACTTTCTGTCTAACTCTCTGAACTGCTGTTGCAGGACCTCGTCACTCATCCTACCTATGTCCTTAATACCAATATGCACCACGACCTCTGGCTATTCACCCTCTCCCTTCAGAATGCTTTCTGCCTGTTCAGAGACATCCTGGGCCCTGGCATCATGTTGTTTAGGCAGAAGTGATTTTAGTCTGTTTGTTATTGTAAAAGTACTAAAATGTTAAATGTCTTCAACCTTCCAATTAACAGCTGAAAGAATAAGTAGCTGAAGTTCCCCTCTCCTGATCACTCCTTCAATCCTTTAGCATTCTTCTTTTGCAAACAACTGGTGGAATAACATTTTTAAAAGTAGTTATGGACTTCACTTCAATATTACACAATGCCCAGAAATATCGTACCAATAAAGATACCATCTTGAAACATAATCTCATATTTGTAACACACTTGCCTCATGAAAACCAATGCTGATATGATGGACTGCATAGACAGTTCTATTTTGTGACATTCAATGGAGCTAAACTGATTTTGTCCAAATAATACAAAACTGGTGTTAGTGAATTAGCAACTCTTTTAAATATATATATTCTTTTGTGATCAAAATGCACTTGAAATGTAGGCTCATCTTATCACCTACCAAAGCTTAAGGGATAACTGATGTAATTAATCAGAATTGATGTAAATTCCACCCTAAGCTTCTGGGCTTGTCCTTTAATTCTTTTCATGATTGCCTTAAATTTCAGCCCTCTGTTTACAGTTTTGTAATTTGTTGAAGCAATATGTTATTATTCATCAATCTGCATGACCTGTAATTTTCACTTGTTCATAACATAGCTATGGTCATGAGTGACTGATAAAATGCTGTGCCTAGGACCTGAGCTCTTTATCTGTCTTTCTGGCACACCCACATATGAATAGCAATGGCAGCGTGGAGAATTTTAATGTAAATTATACTCCAAAGGAATGTGAATTTAACTTTTCTTTAAGTGCCTTGTTAGGCAACATTGTCCATTCTTGTGATTCTCGACACGAGGTGGTGCAAGAGCCAATGATATATTGTGGAGTTATTTTTATATTTAAGTCAAATTGCATAAGGATAGAAAGTCCCCTTTAGTGAAAGGCTCTATTGAGTAGGTTGGTAGTTTCCCTAATCAATCTTTTCTTCTGTCAGCCCACAAATTAAATAGATTTATTGAATTCAAATTTACAACTTTTCATTGTGGGAATTAAACCTACTACATCTGGCTGCTAATTCAGTGGTATTAAAACTATAATGTCAAATGTTCCATCAATTCATATTCAATTATTTAGCATTGACAAATTGCATAAAATAAAGTGAAATTGCAATGTTGTTCCTGTATTTTATTTGGGCTACCATGCGAGGATCCCAAAGTTCCTTACACCTTACCTGGTTAATTGGAATGTCATGACCTGCCAAATCCAGAAATGGTTTATAATCTTCTGTTGTAATTTTGCATGGGTCCTTCTTACTAAATGCACTCAGAAATGCTTCCCATAACGTTGGACAGTCTTTGTCCCTGAAAAATAAAAACAAACACTCTATATGCTGTTAGAATTAAGTAATCTATTTTCATTACTGCTAGGAAACATGGTTGCTGAAAATCCTGGACACTAAACCTGCAGCTAAATAAAGAGGTGGGGTTTGTTTGGTTTCTTGCACAACATCCTACAGCACTTTACATTAGATAAGGTGTCTTTTCAAAGTTATAATATGGGAAACATAGGCCTGGGTTATCGGTAAATTGGCATGATTCAGAAGCTATTAATCCAGAGACATTGGTTCTCTGGGAATCCGGGTTCGAATCCTGCCACAACAGCTGGTGGAATTTGAATGCTATAAATATCTGGAATTAGGAGTCTAATTATGACTGTGAAACTATTGCTGATTATCAGGAAAAAAAATATTATCTAGTTCACTAATATCGTTTAGGGGAGGAAACTGCCATCCTTACCTGGTCTGGCCTACATGTTAGTCCAGCCCACAGCAATGCTGTTGACTCTTGGCTGCCCTCTGGGTAATTAGGAATGGACAATAAATGACCAGTGACACCCTTATCCCATGAATAAATAAAAAAAACCCAGCAAGCCTCATTTCTTGCCCTCATCATTCTCCCATTCATCTCACATACCTCCTTGATACTTCCTCAATGTGCCTTTTTATCCCCCATGTTCCTATATGCCCCATTCTCCTCCCATGCTCTCTCATAACCTTATGATCATCCATGTCTCTTTTCCAGGTATTCGCCATGTACAATGAGGCATTGGTAATCCTGGTTAAGAATTTGAAATGATCCTGAAACTACACAATAAGCAGGGACTTTGAAAAGATGCTTCAAAAAGACCTCAGCTTACTACCCCTGTATGCTATACACAGTATCCCTGTTAGACCTCTTACCCTTGCATAAATAAAAAAATATACAATGAAAAACATTTCTATTAATAAACTGCTATATAATTAAAATGTCAAACAAAGTTTTCACTGCCTTTCGCAATGGTATTAACTTTGCTTCCTATAATTGAAGTAGATCAGTAAGTTTTGAAGTTCAGCCAGACATTCATAATGATGCCCTCTAAATTAGAATTAGAATAAGAGTATCCTTTATTGTCATGTGTTCTTGAGTACGGAACTACAGGAGTACAGTGAAAAGTTTACAATGTTGCCCCATATGGCACCATCTTAGATACAAAATACAGAAATGAAGGGAAAAAGATAGGAAAAAAGAAAGGAAAAAAAAAAAAGAGTTAAATTACTTAAAGTTGTTCATTGTTTGATTTAGAAAACTGAGAATAAAGCTAAAAAGATAAGCATTACAGACTTTCCCTAAAGGGCCTGCAGTAGATCAGTGCAGGAGGCTTCCATACGTGTCTGCCTGGGCTCACAAGCCACTGACCACCCGCACAGGTACGCAGTCCAACAACTGTCCTGCTCTGCTCGGGCCTCCAGCCTGCTGGCCATACCCCCTCCATTTGGGCTTCCAGCCGACTGGCCATCTCCCCCCACCATTCGACCATCCCACCCCCTCCCCCCCCCCCCTCCATTCGAGCATCCAGCCTACTGGCACTCCTTCACCCCACCCCCCCTCCATTCGAGCATCCAGCCCACTGGCACTCCTTCACCCCACACCCCCTCCATTGGAGCAACCAGCCCGCTGATAGTCCCCGCTCCACTCGGGCCTCCAGGCTGCTCTACCTCAGGAGAGAACAGCAAGAGGGGAAAAAGGCAAGGAAAGGGAAGAAAACAGGAAATAAACAGAAGCAGCAGAAGAGTTCCATATGGAGCATCCTACTCTGCTGCCATCTTGGCCAAACAATACTGATTTCACAAAAGCAGGCTGAACAGATGGCCTCTTTGTAAGAATGCATGGAACTATATTGAAACAGTATCACCAAGATCGATGGGAAAACATAAAGGTAGATGGGAAAGAAGAATGGAACGATTCATTTTATTGAATTCACCAGAAAACTCAAGGAGGTTAAGAAGGGACAGCATAACATTGATAAAAGTCACAAAGGATGTCATGAGTGATTCTGAAAGAAGCAATGATGGCTATCACAAAAATTGAGGAAGAGATCTCAAAGAGCCTTCACAAATTTAGATGCCAGAGACTAGGAGATTGTTTTATTGGGCTAGAAGTGGGCTCTTTGAATATGCATCAAAAAGTCCAAACTTAAAAATATATTATCCCATATGTTTTATTCTTTCTTCACAAAAGATTTCTGCAATTGGAGCATGGATTTAGTTGTAAAGAAACCAATGAGACTCTCAGAAATCAATATTATTCAAGTATAAATTGAACAGCAACATCCTATGGTCACAAATATGCAAATAAATGCAGAAATTAGAATTGCTCTGAGGCAATTTTATCATGTTCTAGAGGACAAGAATGTGGGCCTCATTTCCTTACTTACATTTGCATGCAGCATTTGGGGAGGGGACTGCCAACAGTAACAAACCAAGTGTGAGGGGGTTGGGATTAAATCATGGCTGGAGTGAGGACATGGCACTGTTTCCATTGGTATCCTACCTGCTTGCGGGCTGATTAATGAAAGAAACTTCAGCCAAATTCTGAGATAGCAAGAACTGCAGATGCTGGAAGTCTTCGCAGTGGGGTTTTGAAGAAAGGCCCGAACCGAAACATCAGCTTTCCTGCTCCTCTGCTGCCTGGCCTGCTGTGTTCCTCCAGCGCTACACTGTGTTATCTCAGCCAAATTCTGGCTGTTTTAATTGAGAACTTTCCTTCTTATTTAAGCACTCAGGTAAGGAACAGTGTATCTTTGGTTAAAGACAAACACTTAGACAATCTGCAAATTTTATTTTCTGAAAATAATTATTTGCAGATTGTCTAAATGTTTGTGCGTAGCCAAAGCCACATTGTTCTCAAATTGGATGAGGTGTTGTTGGCCAAATTCTTTTTACCTGGATAGAGCAGTGGTAGATTCTGAACTGTCGGCTTGCAATGAAGACACTTTATTTAGGAACCCTCCTAGTATGGTGATGAAGTATTTCAGTGGATTACAGCTCACAAACTTCAACAAAAGGGCTTTCATAGAAAAGCAAAAAAATGCACGAGAGCAAAAACTATTGCTCCACCAAGATATTTTTTGAACTCCCCTGTTCAAGTCTAATATCTCTATTACACCACAAACTGATTCATGTGACCTCTCTCTCTCTCTGTCAGTGTCACATATCTAGCATCTCCAGTCCAGCAGCTTGTTTTATTCAGACAATGCAGAACTACGAAGAATAGGAGACTGACTGCAGCCAAAATTTTCTTTCCAAAAAGTCCTAGCTACAGATATATATCCAATGATATTCAAAATTAATATTTCATCTACCATATCTTCATAACACTGTGTCCGTCCTGACAAGTTCAAAACAAAAAGCTTCAACAACAAATCTTTTTTTTCCCTCAGTAATACCCAAGTTCTGCACAACCAGGCAACTACATTGAAAATTATGATATGGAGAAAATGATAAAGTCACCTACCCTGCATCAGGATTTACTATTCCAAGGTAGTTGAAGCATCTCCCAATCATTATTTCTTTCAAATTTTCAGTTGATCCTTTTCCTTTCCAAACGGTTTTGGTTTTTGCCTTTGCTAATGTTCTTTCTGTATAGCTTAACAGCACTAGTCCAAGAAGGAACAGACCTATATGATGAGTAATAAGATGCAGGTATTACTGCAAGAAATTAGTATTCTCATTATTTCTGTAGTTAAGCAGCATGAATGGCTATACATTCAGAGAATGACCAATTCAGGTTACACATGAGAAAAGTTACCATTTGAAGTGGCCTGTCTTAGGTACAGAGATTAAACTATATTCTCAAATTATGTCCAGTGTAAGACAAAGAATGCAACTCACTTGTATTTAAACTTATGTGGAGTGGTGAAGGGGGGAGAAGAATTGGTCTTTGTGGTATGCAGTTCCTAGATTGCATTCAATTTCCTAATATCTCAAATCAACATTTGAAATGTACATGTACACATCCAATAGTCAATGCAGAGGTTAATAACTTGGGAAATACGATCACATACACCCAATGACTCCCCATAGAATGCAGTAAGATTATGACAGCAGTATATAATACTTATTTTGTGTCAGTGATATTATTTTTGAATATAATATACTCCAGTCTATGCCTTATCTTTTTCCTCTAAGTTTTGAGCATGACAGTGAAGGACCATTTCCACCAGCTCTGCTTAAACATGAATGACTTAGACACTAGTCCCTAGATTATCTGTTCTGGCTGCTGGTGCTCCACATGTATTTTTAGAGCTCTCTAAAGTTTCAGCAGTTTTACAGGGAGTGCTCTGACTGCTGCAGCAGAAGTATATTTTTACTTATTCAGACACTGTACTGAACAAATTCCTTTCAGACATGAGGATCCCGGTTGAGCTTCCATTTGGAATTCAGTATGACTGAGAGAATGAGCAGAGATACTGCCCAGAGCAGTACACTAGCTGCTAGAAAAAAAGACAAGGACAATGAAGTAAAGATCGCAATAGATCTACCAAGGGCCTTTAGAGATGCTATTCTCCTATCTCAACTTTAGCAATGGCCAATCTGCATTTGTCTTCATCTGCTTAAATAAAGAATGAATGAAATTTGTCAACAGTTACGGCCACCACTGCTGTTAAGGTTACAGATGTTCTTAAATTGTACGTGTCTGACATCTTCCAGATTGTAACATAAGCAAAATCTTGCAGATTTCTGTACACTGTTGCATGAAGGGAATTAGACATTGATGCTTTCTAGACAGAGAGATAGTGACTACCATGTGATCACCAAGGATAGAATAACCTCTGCATGGCCTTTATGGAGATGAAATCCCACCTTCACATTGAGAAAACCACCCACTGTGTTGTGTGGTACTATCACTGTGCCAAATGAGTTAGACTTTGAACAGATCTAGCAACTCAAGACGTGGCATCCATGAGGTGCTGTGGACCATCAACAGCACCAGAACTGTACTCCAGCACAATCTGCAACCTTGTGGCCTGGCATATTCATCACTCAACCATTACTATCAAGCCAAGGGATCCACCCTGGTTCAATCAAGAGTACAGGAGAGTGTTCCTGAAGCAGCACTAGGCACAGCTAAATATGAGGCGTCAACCTGGTGAAGCTACCAAACAGTACCACTTACATTCCAAACAGCATAAGCAGAAAGTGATAGAAAAAGCAAAGTGATTTCAGAACCAATGGATCAGACCTAAGTTCTGCAGTCCTGCAACATCCAGTCGAGAATGATGGTGGACAGTTAAATAACTCACTGGAGGAAGTGGCTCCACAAATATCCCCATTGTCAACAATGATAGGAACACAGACATACAGAAAATAGGAACAGGGGTAGGCCGTTCAGTCCTTCGAGTCTGCTCTGCCATTAATAAGATTATGCCTAATCATCCAACTCAGTACGCTGTTCCCACTTTATCCCCATACCCTTTGATCCCTTTATCCCTAAGAACTATATCTAACTCCTTCTTGAAAACATTCAATGTATTGGCCTCAACAACTTTCTGTGGAAGAGAATTCCACAGGCACATTCTGGGTGAAGATATATGTCCTACTCTCAGTCTTAATGGTCAACCCTATATCCTATGACTGGATCTGGACCCTCCAGTCATTGAGGACATGCTCCTTGCATTTACGCTGCCTGGTCCTATTAACATTTTAATAAAATAAAATAAAATTTTAAAATAAAATCTAGAAGATCCTCTTCATTCTTTTAAAGTCCAGGGAATATAGTCCTAAGCATTCCATCTCTCATATGTCAGTCCTGCCATCCGAGGTATCAACTTGATAATTTTTTGTTGCGCTCCTTCCATAGCCAGAACATCCATCCTCAGATAAGGAAGCCAAAACCACACACACTTCTCTCAGTGTGGTCTTACCAAGGTGCTGTACAATTGCAGCAAGACATTCCTGCTCCTGTACTTGAATATTCTTGCTATCAAGGTCAACATACCATTTGCCTTCTTCACCACCTGTTGTACCTGCATGCTTACTTTTAGTGACTTGTGTACAAGGACACTCAGTTCTCATACACCCCCTCCTTTCCCAATCTATCACCATCCACGTAACAATCTGCTTTCTTGTTTTTGCTGCCAAAGTGGATAACTCCACATTGCATTTCATCTACTATGCATTTACCCACTCTCTCAACATGCCCCAATCACATGGATGCATCTCTTTATGTTCCTCACAGATTACCCTTCTGCCTAGCACCATCCATCTGAGAGAGCAGATAGCTCCAAGCTATGTCTCAGTATTACACTAGAGCATCAAACCTTCAGCTGCGTGCTCAAGTCTTGGTGTAGGTCTCAAACCCAGAACCCTGTCAATTCAGAGAAGAGATTGTTACCAAATCAATGAAAGCTTATACTATTCCATCCTGATATGGGATTCGACTAAGAGATCATTGCAGGTGAAGAATATTGTACATGGAAGCAACTTCACCTTTGTCTGCATATATTAGTCTTAAAAGAAAAGTCAAAGAATGTACACAAAAACAATTAACACATTTTCAGTGGCCTAAAAAAATGAAATTGATTTGAATTAACACAATGTGGAGGAAGAGAATGGGTTTTTCTCACTAATCTCTGGTGCTTCCAACTGCTGAATCTAAAACAAAATACTCTCTTAAATAGCAGTTGAACGTGTGCATTGATTCTTGGCATAACCTTCCACAAGTACCAAGTTCTGGCAATTAGATTCAAAATGTGTTTCAATTTTTTTAAAAAAATCCCTAAATAATTTGATTTTAAAATGTGATTTTGGATGAATAAAACTCAATATTAAAATCTGAATGTATTTGTTTGTGCTGCTTTTGGCACAGAATACCTTACGTCTGGTAGCATTTTACTACAGGGTTTAGTCAGCGAGTTAAGACATCAAGAGAAACATTAAATAAGGTAATTAGCATAGTTGATCTTCAGAAACAATAGCATACACACATCAATTGAACCACATTTGGAGCAAAACCACAGACTGTTGTGTTACACTTTAAGTTGTCTTTACCTGTGAGGTGCAAATTTTTCAGCAAAAACATCTTCAAACTGTAGTTTATTTTTCTTTGATACTGGATCAGCATTGAAAGTTACACCCTTCTTCAACTATTCCATGGTTTACACCCCTTATAAACTCTTTCCTAGACATTGGTCAACACAACCTACGTTAACCAATCATGAAGCAGACATTTCAACCAATGAAACAGAAGATCTTTAAATGGTTTAACAATTATGACCAATAGCACCCAAGTAAAGGACAGATATTAGAGCAATAAAAACTTAATGAATCCCATGAGATAACAAACTTATACAATTAATAAAAACCGAAAGAACTGCAGATGCTGTAAATCAGGAACAAAAACAGAAGTTGCTGGAAAAGCTCAGCAGAACCAGAGGTTCTGAGGAAGAGTCACCAGACCCGAAATGTTAATTCTGATTTTCTTCTTCACAGATGCTGCCAGACCTGCTGAGCTTTTCCAACAACTTCGGTTTTTATACAATTAATACTCTATTAACATCTAAGTTTATTAATTCTGCCTATTAACATCTGAAGTAAAAATTACTTTAACATTTTATTTCTCCTTGCTCTTCCTTTTATAAACTTCTGAGATATTTGTATCTATTAATATTTATCAATGCTATTCGTCAAGAATCATACTCTGTAAATGCTGCAGAGTAACTGTCAGTTGTAACCAATTTTTAAATAGCAACAGGCCAAACTCTCAGCATAGTTTATTTTCACATTCTACATTCTTAGAGAAAACCGAAAGAACTTTGGATGTTGTAAATCAGGAACAAAAACAGAAGGTGCTGGAAAAGCTCAGCAGGTCTGGCAGCATCTGTGAAAAAAAAATCAGAGTTAACGTTTTGGATCCGGTGACTCTCCCTCAGAACTGTTCTGAGGAAGGGTCACCAGATCTGAAACATTAACTCTGATTTTTTTCTTCACTGATGCTGCCAGACCTGCTGAGCTTTTCCAGCAACTTCTGTTTTTGTACATTCTTAGAGATTGGATTTAAACTTGGCTCAGCATTAAAGGGGTTAACAGCCTCAAAATTACAGCAGTAAACTTACCGCAACTTTAATGATCCTCGCGGCACACAAAAACATTTTGGGGCCGTGCAACTCTGAATATCTGCTGTTCACATTTTACCCAGCTCCCTCTCCCCATTCACTGGATTTTATTTGCTGCCAAATTGACAGCTTCCATCCTGCCTGATATTAGGTTCTGCTAGAATCTAGTGTTGTGCATCGGGATTACTGCATGACCCACAGTATTTGGCAATTTTATTTAAACAAGACCGAGACTTCAGAATTGTTTGGCTTTTCATGCCCGAAACAGGTGCATGGCTGGCACATTCTGCCGAGTTGTTTATCAAAGTAAAGTCGATGTCTTGCTAAGTTACATCTTGCTCAATAACCTTTGCCATATCTGCAGGTCGAATATGGATTGACTGCCCTGACTGAATACAGGCTACGCCCTGTTCTTTGCTTCTTTCTAATTGCAGTGGCATCCGTGAAGGAGATTAATCCCAGCTTTCAGCTTTCTTTGCTATTTCTCAAATAGAAATGGTCATTGAATAAAACAATGAAGAAGGCAACTTGTTGCGCTCATGCTGACTCTTTGAAAAATCTGCCTGATGTATCTCAGCCCCCTTTCCACGTGTCCCAGCTAACAATTCCTTTTCAGGTATATATCCGGTTCCATTTTACAAATTATTGAATTTCCCTTTCATGTAGATAGTGCATTCTAACACAGCATGATGTAAAGTATTCTTATCACCGCTCCATCTGGGTCTTTTGCCAACATTACATTTGGTTCCTAACCCTCCTGCATTGGAAATAGTTTCTCTTTATCTATTCTATCAAAACCCCTCATATTTTTAAAGCTTCTCTGAAACACTGCTACAATGGTTCAGACATTTTGGTCACACACTTTCCTGGATTAATGTTCTTTGAAAGTATCGCCCACCCTGCATTCAGGGCACTCTTGCTGTTTCCTGTACTCAAGTGCTCTGAAAATATTCAAACTCAATTTTAGTTTCAGTTTTACACTGCTGAGCTCAGTCTCACTGTTGATCTAGAGCTCTTGTTATTCTACACCCGTCACTGACTGCCAGCAGGTAACACTGTGCACTTTTTTTCTGAAGAAGGGTCCAGACCCAAAACGTCAGCTTTCCTGCTCCTCTGATGCTGCTTGGCCTGCTGTGTTCATCCAGCTCCACACCTTGTTATCACAATGCACCAATCTAGTTTTAACCTCGCTTTAAACCATCGAGCTTCCTGTTCTCCCCTCACCATTATCTCTACTTTGGGGTCCTTTTCTTTCGTTTTCAACTTTTTTGCTCCCCTGTTGGTTTGCTGCCGCTCCTTTTATGTTATTTTTCTTGGTTTCTGACATTAAATGAAAAGCATGTTGGGCAGCCCTCCCAGAGACTGGTCTAACAACTTCTTGATATTTTTACCATCAGCTTTTTTGCTGCTTAGCATTCAGACTTCTTGGAAAGATAACAAAAACTTGTATTTATATACCACTGTGCTTCACAGGAGCACATTGACACTGACTCACATAAAGAAATATTCTTACAAATGGCCCAAATATTGATGAAACTGGTCCATTTAAGAAGTCACACAAAGGAAGAAATATGGACAGATTTAGGGAGGGAATTCTAAGCTTTTAGGCACAGATTACCCAAGGCACTATCACCATTGTAGAACAATTCTAATTTGAGACGCTTAAGAGCCAGAATTGAATGAGTACCAATGTTGCAGAGGGCTGGAAGAGAGTACAGAGATAGAGAGAGATGAGGGTGTAGAGGGATTTGAAAATGAAGATGAGAATTTTAAAATACAAACAATAATTAATCAGAAGACACAACAAGTCAGTGAGCACAAGGTGATGCTTGAATGTGACTTGACATGAGCTAAGAAAAAAATATCGAGGATAAAATGTGGGAAACTGGCCCTGGAATGTGTTGGAACAGTCAAGTCTAGAAATAGCAATGGTATGGATGAAATTATCAGCAGCAAATGGGCTGGGGCAGGAGGGGGTAGGCATTGTTACAGATGCGAAAATAAGTGGTCTTAAGTGAAGTTATGGAAATATTCTGGAAATTCATCTCGAGATTAAAAATAACAAGAAAATTACATACAGACTGGTTCAACTTCAGAAATTGTCAGCAAAAGAAATGGAGTAGGTGACTATGAAATGGACTGCGAAATGTGTGACGTACGAAAGACAGTGGCTTCAGTCTTCCCAATATTTAGCTGGAGAAAATTTCTATTTGTTTGAAAAAATATATGATTTATGGCTGTCGCGGAATGCACACAAAGCAGAGATAAAGATCATGTAACTATGGAAAGCCAGCCAGGACACTAAGAACACAATTAAATCTCTTCAAACATGCCCCTTTTCATAAAAGATAACAAAAATATTGCATGAACTATCATTTACAATTGCAGGTTACTCAGCATACATGGTCACAATGAAAATGATCAGAAATTGACAGGAGCATGTGTTAACTCTTGTTAGTTCCACTTTCATATATCACTACATATTCATTGCATACACGGTGATTACATCGTGCATGTCTCCCAGTGACATGTGCACGCTTTCCCATTGATTGTTCATCTGGTATCCGTTCTTCCTAGATTGATGTTCCTTTTCTGGGGGAATGCCATTCCTTTGATGAGTGCTGTTTTCATGGTGAATGCTGTTTTCCCTGATGTATTTCCATTGCTGGGCAACGGTGGGCCTCTTGGACTGATTGTCTATAGTCTATGACAATAGTGAGATCACATCTTCCTGATCTGTGAAGGAACAGCTTATCCTGTTATATATAAATCCCCGCAAATGTGCTGATATGTCTGGTTATTCTTCACCGCAATTGAACTGACATGCCTGAACACAGTTGTCACATGGGCTGAATTTTGTTGAGGGCTTTGAAAATTTACACCCTGACTGGCTCTCCAATGCTCAGCTTTAGCAATGACAGTTTTTTTAAAGTGAAATTTGGCTTTCTATCCACCTTACCTTGAATTTGTCACTCATGTCTCTTCCTGCTTCTGGCTTCATTAATTTTTTTTTTCACTAGTGGATTTAGGGTAACATTGGTCTTTGTACAGGATAGCTTTCCAGCCCTTCGATAGGTGTATTTCTCCAATCACTGATTGCCTTGTACAAGTCTGTGCTGGATTTATTTGATTTCATAATGGTGTCTTTGGCGATTTTTTCTGCCTTTACATTTGCATGAGGTTAGTATGGAGATCGTGTGTGGTGTTGAATATCACAAATCCTTGGAGCTACGTCTGAATTCTTCCTGCAGTATTGGAGAGTTCTGTCTTTAAGCATTGTTTGCCAGATTTGACTCTCTGTGTAGTCACAGCACCCTGGTACTGGCATCAGCATCACTAGTCATTTGATTCTAGTGAAAACTGTTATTTGCGCTGTGCCCCAATATCACATCCTTAGTGATGAGTTGCCTTGAGGTTGTCATTCTTAAAAATAATTAGGAAAGAACTTTGCTAAATAGATCACAGATTATTGCACTGCTTTCACACCTGTTGGTCTCTGCGTCTCTGCTACAGCTATGACCTCGTCATGGTCTGGGCTAAGCCCTTTCGCTGACAGTATAGGGCCTATGTACTTGACTTCAGACATCTTCAATTGCATTTCATTCTTGACTAAAACAAAGAATTGCAGATGCTGAAAATCTGAAACAAAAGCAGAAATTGCTGGAGAAACTCACTTGGTCTGCTAGCATCTCTGGAGTAAAAGCAGAGGCAATATTTTGAGTTCAGCGGCCCTTTGTCAGAACTGATAGTAGCTAGGAAGAGGTTGTTATAAATACTGAAGACAAGGGATGGGGTGGGGGGGCGGTGGAGCTGGTGGTGGTGGAAAGGAGTGAGCGGATGGATAAAGACTGAGCCCAGAGAGCGAGCGAGAGAGAGAGCGAGCGTGAAAGAGACAGTGAGTGAAGTTGGTAAAGGGGACCAAAATAAGTAAAAATTGGGTTGGCTGTGCTTAAAGCAGACCATGTCATGACAGGGCCTGGGGTGTGGTGATGAGTAAAGGACATAGAAAAAGGTGTTCAGGCTCTAAAATTAATGAACAA